GGGACCCCACTTCCCACACCCTTCCAGGTCGATACCGACCCATCCACCACGACTCTCTGGGCGCGACCCTCCAGCCAATTCGCCAACCACCAGACCATGCAGTCATCCAAGTCGCAGCCTCTTAACTTGTTCACCAGTATGGGGTGGGATACCGTATCGAAGACCTTCTTGAAGTCTAAGTATACGACATCCACCCCTCCTCCTGTGTCCGGGCATTTCATAACCTGGTCATAAAAAGAGACTAGATTGGTCAGGCACGATCTGCCTGCCACGAACCCGTGCTGGTTTCCCTTCGGCATAATTTGTCCTCCCGGGCTCTCGCAAATGTGAGCCTTGATAATTTTTTCAAAGACTTTGCCAAGGATGGAGGTGAGACTGACTGGCCTATAGTTGCCCGGGTCCTCCTTCCTCCCCTTCTTGAAAATGGGGACCACATTGGCCCTTTTCCAGTCCTCCGGGACCTGGCCTGTGCGCCACGAGCGTTCAAATATTCCCGCCAGTGGCTCTGCAATGATGTCGGCCAGTGCCTTCGGCACCCTCGGATGGAGCTCATCCGGGCCTGCTGACTTAAAGGCATCCAGTTCCTCCAAGTGACTCTGCACCATCTCGGGGTCTACGCATGGTAGTCTGGCGCCTTGCAACCCCAGTGAGAGCCTTGTCGTGCCCCTCGCTTAGGAACACTGAGGCAAAGAACTCGTTGAGGAGTTCAGCCTTGTCCCCCCTGTCCGGCACCAATTGTTTCTGCCCATTTAGCAGGGGTCCTATTCCTCCCTGGGCCTTCCTTTTACTCGCTATTCTTGAGGCTTATCCCAAGTTTCTGTCCATGTGGTATCAACAGCATAAAATAACTCCTCAGTTCTCTCATCAAAGCCTAACTCGGTCCAAGGGGAAACGACTCCATGTACCTGACTGCAACGTGCGGAAGTTTTGATTAAGGGGAGGAAGCTTTTTGGAATATACTTAGACTGGCCTTTGCAAAGGATGTATTCTTGCAAATGATGTTTAGTCAGTGTCCAACAGTATAAAAATGTGCCTTGGCAGGGTTACCTCTACCTGGTCTTTGGCTCATGCTCCTAGCGTTTGAGCAGCAGTACACCTGTTCCTAAAATCTGCAAGTTGTCTGCGTGGTGCTTGGTACAGCTGATCGCCAGATGCATCTTAATAGATTTACTGACCAAGCTTTCATCTTGGAAGGGTCGTCATGCAGACATCACCTATGTATGTCTGTGCTCTGTTGCCAACACGCACCGACAGAACAGACCTGCTTTATTCATCAGGACGGAGACTCCACCTGGACTGTCACTCCAAGTGCCTTTGTAAATTCCCTGCCTGGGGGTGTGAAGTAGGGCTGGGACTGGATGCTGTTAACCCTAAGAATCTGATCCCAGTTGTACAAAGTGCATGTGCCCCAGAGCTCAAAGAAGAGGGGGTGGTATAATAGTAGGTGAGTGGTCTGTTGTTTAGTACTGCCTAAGATTAAACCTATCCTGCAGAATATGTTAATCCAAAACAAGGAAGTAAAAAAAAATAAGGGCTATATGTTGAGTAATGGCAGCAGAATGTGCTCCCATGTGTGTAACAAGCAATGGGTGACCAGGGCACAAGAACAGTGACTGCTGCCGGCCCAGCCCTGGCACCCAGGACACAGACTGGGGGTTGTTGTGCCTCTGCACCCACGTTGCCTTCTGTCACAGTTACTCCAGACTTCAGGCTGTAGAGACTGACCTCTCTCAGCAGCATGGCTACAGCGTCCTTCCAACACTCTCAGTTGGCAAGCAGTGGGAACTGCCTTTAGGCATGACTGCAACTTCTAAAAGACTGCTTTACCCTTAAATATGTTACAGCTTGCTCTCGTGGTTGTAGTGTTAAGTAACACGTACTGGTAAAACTAACCAGGCTTCCTGTTGTTGCAGGGATTTGGTGCAGAGAGAAAGATCCGTCAAGCTGGTGTTATAGACTAATGGATTCCACAAAGCACATTTAAGGAAGTACGATCAAGTGGTGGGGGCTGGTGAAGGGTACTGAATATCTTCCTGTTCATCCCTTCTAAATTCTAAGATGCTATTACACCAGTTTTAACACCTCATGTTATGTTTAAAAAAATAAATTTATGAAACCGTTTTAAAATTATGCACAGTTGCATCCTGGAGAACTTAAGGTGGCGCCTTATAGTATCACATTTTAGAAGCTTTTTTTTTTTTTTTTTTTTTTTTTTTTTTTTTTTTTTTTTTTTTTTTTGAATGGTGCATTTAACGCAACTGGTAACTGCAAATCTACATTGCGTATGTAAGTAAACATTATAGACAGTTCTACTCTGATAGACCTTATGGAATTCTGCACTAAAAGTGCATATACTCTACCTTCATGAATTTGGCCAAGGTGTGTTTATGCCTTAGCTCTCAGTTGTTATCTTCCTTTCCAAAGGGGGAGGAGGTTTGCTTCTCGTTCATTCTGCTCTAATTCTGAGGACCATGTGAGGGTGGAATATATTGACTTTTTTTATATATATAAAAATCTGTATGAATTCAGATAATTTCCTTAAGTTTGATGGCCAAATGTTACATTGTTTTTCATATCTCATTTAAACTCGAGTCCATTCAGCAAGCGGAGTTCTGTTTAGAGCTCAATGAAAGCCTCTTCCAGAGTAGACCTAACTTTTTTGTAACTTCCTGCAGAATTTCATAAGGCCGAGGTGTGCCATCAGTGTGGTAATTTAAATATATTTAAAAACAATGCACAAATCTGCTGCTGCTTAGAACACTGCAGCTTCTAAACCCAGTTTCTTTTACTGATTTAAACTTTAAAAGTTGTGCCTGATGTGAATACATTTTTTTTTTCTTTTTTGCAGCTGGCACCAGTGTACTGTAAAAGAATAAATACTTAGGCTTTCCATAGCTGTATTGAGACTTTCATCAAGGTGAAATAGTTGATGTCTGTGTGCTTTTTTTTTTTTATTATTATTATTATTATTTTTATTTTTTTTGTCCTTCCCACCCACTCCCATCTTCCCAGTCACACTTTATCAAGTGAGAACTGATTTGGTCTAAGTATTAATTTAACCAAAAAAGATCAAGATTAATTTTCTTTGAATAGAGGGCAGTACTGTGTGTGTTGGACTTTTTTTTCTTTTTTTTTTTTTTTTTTTTGGTTCCCCCACGTTCCCTCTATTCTCACTTTAGGGTTTTCTTCTCTGGGAGACGCGTTCTCTTTGTAAAAACAAACATTGCTTTCTCCGAGTTTTCTGTTAACGGCAAAGAATGGAAATAGAATAAAGTTTTACTGATTTTGGAAAAAGCCTCCACTCTGGTCCCTTCTCCTCCTTCCCGCGGGACCGGGGGGGCGGGGCGAGCCGGAAGCGGACGCGGCACGTGCCGCC